AGGCACTCAAGCTTCATGAAGTCATTCTACATCAAAGAGGTATGTATTCTAACTTGTTATATTTCATATGTATCAATATTTTGGTATGCTAGTTAGGATAATACCTTGGATATTCATATTTACATGTATACTAGAGAAAACATAGATCTAAGGTATTTAGGGTTTCATGTACACTTAGGAGTGTTAGAATGCTCAAAACCCAACAGGTAGAGGTATAGTTGAAGTGGGTACAGAAGAAACAGGTGGTGGAAGTGGTGCAATGGAAATAGGAACAGTAGTATTAGATGGAGAAGGAGGAGGAGTTGGAACCGAGTCATTAAGTGGTACCTCTGTAGTTGGAGAACGTGGAGGCGTGTTTCCCCTTGGTGAGTCTTCTTGGTGAACATCTTCACCTTCAACTGATTTCTCTTGATCACCATCATAAGGAACATAATCTGAGTCACTAGGCGAGGATGCCTTCGGTTTCTTTGCCATCTTCTTTTCTTCTTTGGAGCTGAAGGAGCTGCCTTGTCAGCTTTACGCTTTTTGGGAGTTGCAGCTGGTGATGAGGGACCTTCGGTCTCTTTCTTCTTGGAATCTGGTTTCTTCCCCCGTTTTTTTTGTTTCTCAACCGCATCTAGAGCACTCTGCATCTCCGGAGTCAATTGCCTTGGTCTCGTAGGAGGAAATAATCTGTATTCAGCCATGACATTGCTTACGGTAGCAACACTTCGGTACATCGATTAAGGAATGGACCTAATGTACAAGAACTTGGTTGGATCAGTGACAATGATCTTCTTCGTGTGAAAGGTCACAATTGATGAGCCCAGGACATCCGTCATTACTGGAACCTAAAAATCCTCAATCGCTCTTTGAGTTATGAGGGTCCAGAACCGACCACACGAAATATCTGAGGTGCTTGAAGATGAATTGAGACTCTGTACCACTTGAGCCCAAATAAGCGTTCCATAGTCGAGGTTTAGACCATGGTAGAGACCATAGAGAATAGTCATAAACCCTTTGCTTGCTCCGTCTGAACCTGCACCTCTTTCTGATAAAACCTTAACTAGAAGAGTAAAAATTCCATTCCATTGTGGTGGAAGGCAGGATTTCTTGAACTTCGTTACCGTGGTGAGGACATCAGTATACCCCATATCGTAGAACATTATGAATAAATAAGTTGTGGTGATGGAATCAGGATTCACCAAAGAATCACCAGTATGAAGCCCTAACAATGAACATAAGCGAGCTTTGGAGACTGAGGTTTTGTGAGTGAATATTTCGAAAAAGATCATGTCTTTGCGTTTGTCATAAACTGCAGAGGTATACACTTGGGAAAGCAGAGACATTGGTACAGATTCCACCTTG